AGTGAAAACATTATGGTGTTGCTCACCCTAACACTGGCACCCCAAGACCGAGGTTTCGTCCTGGACGCCTGCGCCTACAGAGGGACCATGGGTGGCTTGCGCTACACCACCCACAGCTCCAACCACACACCCCATATCCGGTGTAAACCCGAAGGAATAAGACCGGGAGGCATGTGGATGGGAACCACGTTTCATCAAGGGAGCCGGCCCACATTCCTTCACAGGCAAACACAAGCACACTGTATTGGGGGAATCAAGCGCACACAAGGCGGTGGCTGGACCGTAGTCCGCTCCACACTGAGTGCATGGAACCACTCTTCGAGCCTAGCACGGCCACAAGGACCGTGCACCCCGTCCCCTCCAGCAACGACCAACTGTCTCCTGGAGCCAGTACAAAAGAGGTAGTGGGTAATAGACAGGTAAGCACCTTGTCAACATGCGCATCAAGCGCAGCCACATCGGGGATATCAAGCAACAGCCAATCATTTGAAACGATAAAATAAAATAAATCCAATAATGCATACAGATACGGTGGCAGAACTCTTCGCTAAATTAGCATATGAAGTAATTTGGTTAGCAATGAATCCGCGAAAAGGAAAGAAAATGTCCACAAGTTACTCAAAAATGCTACAAACGCAACAAAATTATCGAAGATAAGCGCAATTAGTGTAAATAACGTGGCCAGCCAATAGAAGACTATCCAGATAGGCAAAACAAACCAAATAAACTGGAATGAAATTTATGCAGCTTAAAGAGACCTAGTTTAAGTGTAAGTTGCTTTAGCCCAACTGCGGTGAAGAGGCATCAAAAATACTACATCGGCCTCAGCATGGAGCAAAGATATATATACATATATATATATATATATATATATATATATATATATATATATATATATATATATATATATATATACAGTGCCACATTCTGAGGCTGATGTCGCATTCATGATGCTTCTTCACCGCAGATGGGCTACACCAATTTACACCTAAACTAAGTCTCTTTAATATGGACAAAATTCACTACATTTTATTTGGTTTATTCTGCGGACTTGATAAACTTCTCCCAACTTAAACACGTCGCTCATGCAAATTGTGGTAGCATTGCGCAATTTTATCGCGCTTGGAATGTTTTAACTAAGTTTCGGACATTTTGTACTTATCGCGTATTCACATTAAACCACTTTCTTCCATATGCTCATTTAGCGAGTATTTATGTCGTCATATGTGTTCACTTTATTCGATATCGGCATTCCGAATGATTGGCTGTTGTTTGACATCCCAGGTGTGGCTGAGCTTGATGTGCATGTTGAGAAGGTGCCCACCTGTCTACTACCCACTACCTCGTCGATCTGGCTCCAGGAGACAGTTGGTCGTTGCTGGAGGAGACCGGGTGCACGGTTCTTGTGGTTGTGCTAGGCTGAAAGAGTGGTTCCATGCACTCAGTGTGGAGCGGACCACAGTCCAGCCACCGCCTTGTGTGCATTTGATTTCCCAAATACAGCGTGTTTGTGTTTGTCTGTGAAGGAGTGTGGGCCGGCTCCGTTGATGAAATGTGGCTCCCATCCGCATGCCTCCCGGTCTTATTCCTTCGGGTTTACACTGGATATGGGGTGTGTGGATGGAGCTGTGGGTGGTGCAGCGCAACCCACCCATGGTCCTTCTGTAGGCGCAGGCGTTTTGTGCCTGGCCACAGTGACAGGTAAATCCGAAAGCGGATGCAACCAACCATGTATATATATATATATATATATATATATATATATATATATATATTGAAGAGTAAGACACCAGCCGTTTTACTCCCTCTTCGTTGATTTCACCAGGGCATTTGATACGGTGAACCGGGAGGAATTGTGCCTGGTTTGGTTGCCCGCGTAAGTTTGTAATTTTAATTGAATGTCTGCACAGTGGTATGCGAGCGAGGGTGCAGCTGAGCGCAGAGACCTCGGATGAATTTGCAGTTATCTCTGGTGTGAAGCAAGGCTGTGTCTTAGCTCCTGTCCTGTTTAATATTTATCTCCATGTCATGATGTGTGCGTCTGATGCCGTTTGTGCTTACGGTGTTCGTGTGGAGCACCGTCCTGATGGTGGGTTGCTGAACATCCGTCGTTTCGGTGCGAGAACTCTAGTCTGTGAAACAACTATCCGTATGTCGCTGTTTGCTGACGACTGTGCGTTGTTTGCACACAGCGCGGATAAGTTGCAGCACATGACTAGTGCTCTGGCTTCGACAGCGGCAAAATTTAGGCTCAGCATCAACACAAACAAAACTGTCTCTCACTTCCAGCCTCCACCGGAGGTGCAAACTTCAATATTGCCGCGAATCAGCATTGGTACTGAAGTATTGGAAACTACCTCCCGCTTCTCCGACCTTGGGAGTGTGATGTCGACTGATCAGCAGATACACAGTAAGCTGTGTATCCGTGTGTTGAAGGCAGCGGCGACATTCGGAAAGCTTGAGTACCCAGTGTTGAACATTGGCACGAAGCAGATGGTGTACAAATCCATGGTACTGTCCGTTCTTCTATACGGCAGTGAAACGTGGACGATGTACCAGCGAGATGTGCGATATCTCGAGCGGTTCCAACAACAGTGTTTGCGGCGGATTATGCGCATCAGCTGGTGTGACAGAGTTGCGGACACGGAAGTGTTGCACCGAAGTGGAATGTATGCAGTGGACTGCACAATTCTGCTGAGACACCTGAGGTGGCTCGGTCATGTGAGCCGTATGGATCCAACGCGGATCCCGAAGCAACTCTTATATGGTCAGCTGAGTATTGGGAAGCGGCATGTGGGGAAACCAAAGCTTCATTACGAGGACATGATAAAAGTGAGCCTCTCACGTTCTAAACTTGATTGCAGATCATGGGAATCGAAGGCGGTTGATCGGCGTATATAGCGAGATCTGACCACGAAGACATTTGCCGAGGTGCAGGAGAAAGCCCTCATGCATGCAGAGAAGAAGCGGCAAATGCGGAAGCTGCAAGTGCGGAAGCGGGAAGCGGCGATGGGTTGTACCCCATCGACATCGAGCGCATGGTGCTGTAGCAGATGCAGTCGCGAGTGCCTGAGTCAGGCAGGCTTAGTGAGCCATGAGCGAGGCCACTCGGGACCACTACCGAAGCGACGACGGGTCCTGCAGAGAACGTAGGCAGAACCAACGCAGCGTTTGTAGGTACGCTGCATTCGATTTACTAACCACGTGCTTGCATGCTAAGTCTACTTATTTCAGGTGGTCCTAATGCTTTTCTTTCTCAAATATATGTCCACCTGTACGCTCTTCTATAAACCTGCATACGCTTAAGCCAATTGTAGTTAATTTCCATAACATTTTCGCGTTATTGTCATTTCCGTAAAATATACTTTCTGACCCCCTGAACTTATCCCGGATCACTTGTTAACAACTTATTTCATTTGCTCATTAATTTACGATTTTGTCATGTTTCCTTATGCATTACTCGATTTATCTTCTTTGTTAGCTTTCTCTCAAGTGATTGGCTGTGGCTTGATATCCCCGGTGTGGATGCGCTTGATGTGCATGTTGACAAGGTGCCTACCTGTCTAGTGCCCACTATCTCGTTCATACTGGCTAAAGGAGACAGTTGGTCGTTGCTGGAGGGGACGGGGTGCACGGTCCTTGTGGCCGTATTAGGATCAAACAGTGGCTTCATGCACTCAGTGTGGAGCGGACTACGGTCCAGCCACCGCCTTGTGTGCGCTTCATTCCCAAATACAACGTGCTAGTGTTCGCCTGTGAAGGTGTGTGCAGGCTCCGTTGATGAAACGTGGCTCCCATCCACATGCCTCCCGGTCTTATTCCTTCGGGTTTACACTGGATATGGGGTGTGTGGATGGAGCTGTGGGTGGTGCAGCGCAAGCCACCCATGGTCCCTCTGTAGGCGCAGGCGTCCTGTGGCTGGCCACAGTGACAGGTAAATCCGAAACTGAATGCTGCCAACCATATATATGAGGTAGCGAGATCTAGAAAGATTGTCGATCTGCTGCTCCTAATATTGTGCCGTGTACTCAAGTCTTGCAGGTTCGCACATGGCGACAGCTGTGTCTTTCGGGTGTACACTTTATCGAATCATCATCAGCATCATTACATCAGTCATGTGAACTGTTGCGCCGATGCCGTACGAAGACGACGAGAATAGGAAGCTATTATAATACCTAGGTGCCATAGGCAAACATTCGGGGTAAAGGCGCCTACACCTCGTCAACATGTCATAACAAACAGCTGGCTATCGTGCATAAATAAGGCGACATCAGCGTAACAGTTTCCTTGATAATTTCACTGCACCGTGGTCATAATCAGCTAAGTCCGTAGATAACTCAACACCAAACACACTCCAAACAGGCAGTCCCACTAGGAGAGAACAGCGGACACGGTACTGGTGCTGACTGCCAGCCATGTCCTGCAACGTCTTGAGCCAGGCACAAGGCGGATCATATGTACCACATCCTGGAAGGCGACATGGACCAACAGCAGCAAGTTTCGCAGCCAGTTCATTTCCACCACCGTGGCGTATCTGTGTTACTAAAACTCCTACATATTTAGCTGTGGGTGTTTTTTAGGCATGTGCTGCGTTGCGACCGAAAAGTTGACATATCGCAACCTAGGTTTTTTCTCCGCGTTGATGTGGAAGCAATAGAGAATAGGCGACGTAGAAAAAACACGAGGGTGCAAGATGAAAAAGATAGGCGAAACTAGTTCTGAAGAAATTGAGTTGAAGTTTAACACTGAAATCCAGCCAGGCCGGGCAATGCAGGATAGATTGTGCGGAGTTGTGACTGAAGTGATTCTCAGAATCGTGGAAAGCATCGAACAAGAATAAAAAAACAGTACGGGGCATCACACAACGATGGCCGAATTTTTAGCGTAGCCTACAATGAAGCAGCAACAGTTGTGTGGTGAAGCAGGAGTGGCACATGTCACAGCAAAGAGTATGATGAAGCGCTAGTTAAGGCACAGGACACTGTGAAGATCACACTCACCCTGCTCACAGAGTAGGACATCAATGTTGCTCGGAATATTCAGCGCGTGAGAAGCGATATGGCGGAGAAGTGTAGTCTTTCCATGTCTGAAAATGAAACAGTGGAGAACCGTTCAATTGAGCACATGCCTTAAAAATAAATACGGAAGTAAACAAGCACACAAGAGGCAAATGCAAAGTAAAGTGTGGATAGGTTCTGGAAGTTTACAATTTACATATGATGAGGTGGATGTACATACAGATCAGCATCTTAGTCTAAACGTGTACAAGGCTGGCCCGTTGCGAAATGATCATGCTTTCAACTGTAACAGTTTTTTGCAGTGGAATTTTTCTAGGTAATTATCATCTTGCATCAGCGCGAACAGCGTTAACCAGGCGCATGCTAGAATACGAGCAGCGTTAAAAGATACCATCGGGAGGCAAAAGAGTGCGCAGCACTGGTTAAGAGCAGTTGTTTCCGTTGACCCAACAACGCGAATGCTGAATGCTGGCAAGCATGACCAGAGAGCAAAGTAACTACCAGATTGGTAGACATCCAATTCCGATACCATCAAATTCGATACCCTAAAACGCAGTGTGTCATGAGGATCCGACGCAGCGAACCTGTGGATTACGAGGACCACTACCAAGTTGAAGAAAGGGGAATGCCCTGCCTGTGGAAATGACTATGGATAAGTCCCGTCTAATTTGCAGACGAGATGAACATGTGGTCGCAGAAAATCAGCCGCCGCGCCGTAGTGTCAAGATTCTTGGCTGATCAGCCGGTTGCGCAGCAAACACAATAAGAGCCTGTACGACAACCAGTTGAAGCCAATGGGACAGACTATACGGTCACTCACCGCTCGCATATGCAACGGGCATGTGTATAACAGAGGGTTGATGGATAACTTTGATGATCATCGGCTTCTGTATGGATTCCAGCACTAAGAAGGCATATGAGCCACATGGCTGCTAACGGTGTCAGAGAACGGTGGCGATATCAGTGGTCACAGAAAAAATCAGTTGATCTCCGTGGTATCACATTATGGCTCATTGGGTGCACTGCTGGGTTCGGTGCCACTCGAAAGCTGCGTTGCTCGAACATTTGCAACTAAATCCCAGCGGTCCGTGATGCATGTTACCCGCTCCTTTGCCTCGCGAGTCATATTTTAAAAGCCTAGGGCTCTGGATTGTGTTACTCAAGCCAGCACTTGTTGGCATGAGAAATATGGAAGCAATCTGAGCGCACAACCTATAAAGCAATGCGCCAATGAATCTGCTTCCTATACAGGTTATGTGAAGGGTGACGCAATTCTCCACTCTAGTTGCCTCTGACAAAACACACTAGAGGCTAGAGTATACGCGCTGAGTGACTTCTTGATGTTGCAATTATGAAAAGAAAAATACGATGTTAGAGATCTTCAAGTGCTAGGGCAGTTCGGGGACTCTGCGTATTGAGTTGTAATGGAAACGTAACAAATTTGCCTTGAGTGCAGTAAGCTTCCTGTGCTTAGTCGAGAATAAAGCTGCGGGGATGGAAGATAATACAAACGACGCACTAAGATATAGGAACTAGGATTCAGATTGAATCAACTGCCACACGAGACTTGTAATCTACAGCTGCATAATGCGTCTACAAGGCGAAAGCTTAATAAGGGTAAAAGGAGTTAAAAGCACAAAAATGAATGTTTACGTAAAAAATCTAATGCATCTTGGGAAGCGACACATCAAAAATATGAGACGGACACGTATCAGTGGGAAAACCAGAATACAAAAGGGAAATGGCATACCCATTTGGACCTACAAGACCATATCGACGTCCGTGAGTAATTTGTAGAGAGGCATTAACAAAGAGATCTTTTCCCTTGGCAGCGATTGAAAAATTCTCCACTTTGATATCCAGTTGAGTATCTTGTGTGCTCTTAGACTTGACGCCAAGTGGTGCCTAAATGGTGATGGTAGAATGGCAGGGTAACGGAGGATTAAGCAGTAGGACCATGGCCAATAGAGAGGTAAATAGTGTAGAGAAAATGAATTTGTAGCTCAAAATCAAACACCATGAAGTAGCTATAGTTAAGTTGCAGAACAGAATTCAGGGTGGCCTGACAGTCGCCAAAAACAACAAGTGGCAAGCAGACCATCGAACATGGAGAAGTGTGCTACAGAAACGCATTGGCGGGAAAATACCATGTGTGGCCAAAAAGCATGATCATGTGGGCAGATTAAACCGAAAGCCATCTGGACAAACGACAGGAACTCACGACATATCAATTGTTCAGTTTATGAAAAGAAACAAAACGGTGAGTTACTGAAGGCAACTGTCTGCCTCTTTGCAACCAAAAACATCATCATCCCAACAGAAAAATGCCATTTCATACTTGAGAGTGAGTAATATCACCGTAGTGATATTCCAAGGGGGGTTAAATGTTTAGCAGGCTCATCTTTCGTTCGTCATCCAGCTGATAACAGAATGGAACTAGGTCACTGAGAACAGCACGTCCAGTGTTCACCTTTCCAATAGTCCACGTAGAGTAGCGTCATCAAGGCATTCATTTAACAACTTAATTCGTTACGTGCCTCTGAGTTTGTTCCGTAGATTGGTATCCCAATGAACAATCAGTTGGATCCAGATGGCGCAAAAAAGATGCATTTGAATTAGATTGCGATTAACCGGAGACCAAGTTCACTTGACCAGGACAACGCATTCGAAGTGATGAAATCTCATTTCAACAATATTACAAAAGCTAATGTCAACGCTTCGATACGAAGTAACTACCAGTGCTTGCATGCAAGTTAGGAGACGTTTCCATGGATAGCAGTATGACTGATCAGACAGTTTACCGGCCACTGAGCAGGATAATTTCACTGTGCATGCTTCTGTGGTTTGGACAAGTGCTTCACATGTCTACTCATAGTTAACCTCGGCGTGCCGTCTTCGCGCGCGCAGAAGTCGGCTGGTAGCGAAAGCAAAGTGGCCAACGCATGACTTCTGCCAGAGAATGGAAGAAGCTAACTTTAATGTAGCCCTGATCGAGTGTTGTCAAATTTCTGGCTGCAGGCGCAAGGGTTACCAGCATACATGGCAAGAAACCCTCTCGGATTTGGTGAGAAAATAGGCTCAATGGCGGACAGGTTATGACACCCAACTCTCATGAACTTTTACATTCTTTTTTCTCGTCGTTTATTTATTGTATCGCCCACAGGTTGTGGCGCTATGCTATGCGTTGCATATATATGGATGGAGGTATCCGGTTCCGGATTTGCCTGTCACTGTAGCCTCCACGGGGACAGCCACAGGACGCCTGCGTCTACAGAGGGAAAATAGGTGGTTTGCGCTGCCCCATTCACAGCTCCATCTACATACCCAAAAGCCAGTGTAAACCCGAAAGAATAAGACCGGGAGGCATGTGGATGGGAGCCACGTTTCATCAAAGTGGGCCGGCCCATACTCCTTCAACTTGCACAGCAGCAGCATTCCTATCCATCCATGTTAAGAATCATGCGTACCAGACGTACACAAGGCGGTGGATGCGCCGTAGTCTGCTCAATACTGAAAGGAACCACACTCTGAGCCTAGCCCGGCAATGAATGATGATAGTGAGTATAGCTTTATTTCCCGCTGTTCATAAGTCATACTGAATGTAAAGGGGCTTATGAAAACACAAGTGCCAAGCGGATTGAAGACGGAAACGCAGAGACGCTTAGCAGAAGTTGAATTGGACATTGCCAATCTAAAAAGACTGAGAAAAAGGTAATCCCAATGGTAAGGGCACGTCGGTGTCCTAATATATTACATCGGAAATGAATCGGCGCATAGGGACAATCGTTTTAGAAGCACCGAATGGCTGCACCCGAGACGTACGATGGAGACCGTTACCAAATAGCTTATGGCCACAGCAGAGTACACAACGGTATGTACAAACGGTTGAGTACTTGGGTGACAGCCATGCTACGTCTTGAACATTTGCAAAACAGTGCGCACACTGTTTAGAAAGTTGCATGTTTGACAGTGAGTAGCGGGACTTAGATGATATAGAATGGCGCTAATCATCTCTTTAATGAGGCCGTAAGCGGCGAAAATGTGGACCTAGGGCTGCAGACGATCGGCGACGCGGAGTGACTGAAGTGAACACCGAATCGCATTCGCACGCTGTGCGATCTCCCACATCAGCTAAGCAAACCACACTATGCATATAGGAGGCAAAACTTAAGCACACACTATTTTACTGTACCACTTGTTTATTAATCATTCTACCTGGTAACCGTACTGATGGCAATTGCGTCTCTATTCCTATATCAGTTTCGTTCTAATATGCCCAAGATTTAAGGCTGTCACGTCTAAATGTCAAAGAAAACACCAACAGTTCGTCTTGAATACGTATTCTCATACCTGTGCAATTGGCTGTTAGCCTGACCTCCAAACGAGACCCACACACGTTTGTCGTACCATTGATCATGGGGTCAAGTGTGTCTATATCCAGTTTGTGACATCTCACACTTAAGTTTGCATAAACGCATGCGCATATGTTGTATTCGAACTGCCATTGGACACGGATGACGTCAATGCATGTATATAATGTATACCGAATGAATTCGACGAGGATACTTATACCGTTTTTGTACGGCCAACTTAGTGAAGGAATGCGGCACTGGGGCAAACCGAAAACAACAGTACTAGGATATAAACAAGATGAGTTTGTGACAAACTAATTTTAATTTCAGGTGTTGCAAATCTAAGGTAAAGTTGATCGATGCGAATCCCGTGGACTGGTCAAGAAAGCGGTTGTCCAGATGCAAGAGAGGGCACTATTGCACGCGCAATAGAAACATGATGCGTACGCTCTAATTCGATTTACTAATCCAGGCAAATAAAGCGGTGTATGTGGTACGTTTGCTTGCGTGATGAGTATTCTTGAATTTCAGAAGCACATGTTGTTTGAGCTCCCCGGTGTGGCTGCGCCTGATGCGACTGTTGACAAGGTACCTACCTGTCTGATACCCTGCACCTCGATTGCTGGCTCCAGGAGACAGTTGGTCGCTGCTGGAGCGAAGAGGTGCACCGCCCTCCTGACAGTGCTAGGTTCAGATTGTGGTTCCACCATGAGTGGAACGGGCTACGGGTCAGCCAGCGCCTTGTGTACACCTGGCCGGAACGCTTCTGTTCTGGTTGTTGAAGGAGTGTGGGCCGGCTCCGTTGATGAAACGTGGCTCCCATCCACATGCCTCCCGGTCTTATTCCTTCGGGTTTACACCGGATATGGGGTGTGTGGTTGGAGCTGTGGGTGGTGCAGCGCAAGCCACCCATGGTCCTTGTGCAGGCGCAGGCGTCCTGTGGCTGTCCACAGTGACAGGCAAATCCGAAAGCGGATGCCGCCAACCAGATATATATATATATATATATATATATATATATATATATATATATATATAAACACTTGGAAAGAATGTGAAGCACTCGTGTTGTGAATGGATTGCAACGTGCAATCTGAATGTGCCCCGCGATTCCCATTGTAGTAAATCTTTGCCAATTCGATCACTGGGACCGCAACTGATGAAGCAGATATGTGGTGACTCAGTTTTCCCCTGTCACTCTATGGGCCTTCGCGTAATTTTTGTGGGTGTGTGGGCAAACCAGTGCAGCTGCTGAACAATGGGAACAGTGGGACATTATGACTACACCAACACTAGTTTTGCTCTATTGGCCTACTGCTGCAATTTAGCAACAAAGAAAGGGGAGTACGGCGACTGGACGAGGTTCATGCTACTTTGTGCTAAGGCGAAGGCAATAGAACTGTCCAAACAGTGGGAGATTGTGCAAGCTTTTCTCTTGATCGCGGGTGCCGTGCACCTAGAGCGAGGCCGAAGACCCAGTTTTCCCGTCACTCTATGGGCCTTCGCGTATTCTATGTTGGTGTGTGGGCCAGGCTATGCAGCTGCACGATTATTGGAATAGCTAGGCTTTCATGTCTACACCAAATCCAGCATAGTTTTATTAGTCTTGTGCTGCATGAAACGACCATCATGAGCGACGAGAGCACGCATCTCCGAGGCTGCGGCGGTACAAGTGTTCATTGACGGCAAAACCAACCAGGGAGCTGCTAAAGTCGCTGATGTCAACGAGAGCACGCTAAGAAACATAATCATTATCTACAGGAAAGAAGGCACGAACAGTTAGTGCAAATGTAAAATAAATAACAGGAAGATGCTGACTCAAAAACATGGCAGACGCACATGTACTTATACGGTCGCATAAAAAATCTCAGTAGCCGCCAAATCACCAAAGGTGCCAAAAACAGGTAGGCCACCAAAACTGAGAAGTCGATCGTGTAAGTCGGTTGATCCACTAAATGAGGCATTCACTAAGTTCAGGTTTCTCCAAATGGAGCTAGGTGGGCTCAAAATAAAACTGGCATCCGTAGATCACTTAGCGAGAGCACTCGAAGTACCCGAACCTTTTAATGTCATACTGCAGAAGAAAGCAAACCCGAAGATCATCTAAAACCTGCCGGTGTCTTCATGGGTGCTGCTGCAGCCTAAGTGTTTAGTAAAGTAAGATGTTCTAAAAATTTAGTGGCTTTCAATTTGCGTGATAAGCTGCTAGTAGAAAAACTGCAAAAAAATCGTTCAAAGAATGTAATATGGAAGACGCTAGGTGCAGATGTACGAGGCTCGGAAAGAACATTCAGCGCAAAAACTGACCAGTACTCTTTCAATTTAGCGACGCACTGGTAGCAAACGAGTTTCTCAAAAAAAAGAGTAAAAATGGCAGAAAACACAACCTTCAAAACGCCAGGAATACCGATTGACAAAACGCCCCTGCAAAAGAAAGTTTAGCGCAGTCAGCCACTACCGCCGCCGAACCACTAGTTTCGACATAGTTACTACCACGAATGCCGACATTTTTTTGGGTACGGGAAGTCTTGCCATTCCAAAATCAAAAAATAC